TTTCCACTTCCTTTGATGTTTCAAACTCTGTAAAACCATATAAAAAAAAAGAGACACATAAGGATACCATATATCCGAGTTATTTCATCACAAAATAGTGCTCAAGAAAACAATACTAAACCAAGTATAACAATGCAACATACTGGTCTCTCGGCATTGAGATACCAAGGAGCAGACGACATATACTGCGGAATGTGAGGGTTGATTTCCTTTCCATCCTCATCAACTTCTGCCGGTGCAAGACCAGCTTTACGCGCCTCTTCTAGTTCGAGCTGCTTCCTATGATCCTCCCTTGATTTGAAAGCCACTGAAATATCCAAACCAGAAATCTCAAACATTCAAAACCCACAAAATAAAACTACAACCCAGAAACAATAACTAAACCTCTTTTTCTTTCCGCATATGAACAAAGAATAATAGAAAAACAACAGAATTGCACAAGGGATGACCTTGATCAGCCTGGTGAGTCAGAAAACCCTAATTCAATCAGTGTTATAAACTAAACCCTTTTGTTTTTGCGCAAAGACAACACAATTGACGCCAATTAAAACGAGTTCTTTTACTAAGAGCTCAAAATCGACGGTGACTCAAGGTCATCTATCAGTTACGACTTATGATTACAAAGAAATCGGTAATCCGAGGAATTATATTAAATCCAACAGCGATTGTAATTGGAGAAGCACAGATCGTACCTGAAGCAGTCGCCATGATTTACAGAGCAAATTCCACCCGCCGGGTTTTGTTAGCTCTGTTGTGCGAGAGACCGGAAAAGTAGAGATTTGGATTTACAGAAGAAAAAGAAAAGGATAAACAGAAGCCGCAAGGCTAAAAGATGAGAAAATTGCAACTTTGGTCCGTTAAATTTAAGTGATCGCAATTTTAGTCCATCAGGCGCATATTTGGTCCTTGACTAATTTTTGTTGCACAATTGGTACCAAATATAACTGACCGTTAAATCAGCGTTAACTCTTAGGACTAAAATTGCAACTGTAGGACTAAATTTGCAATTTTCTCATATTTGATATATATAAAATAACTTTTCATTTTTATTTTTATTTTTTTATAATTTTATTCACATCTAGAGTTATATTTTTGTTTTTTATCAACCACTATAATAATAATAAAATTAAATGATGATTTTCTAAATATATTTATTATTTAATTAAAATATTTGAAATATAGAAAACATTGTATTGCAATTAAAATTTTTAACATATTAATAATTATATAAATTTAAATTTATTTGAATTTATATATATCAAATATATTTAAGTTTATATTTTTTATATTAAAAATATTTAAATTTTTTTGTTTTATATCAAATATTAATTTAAAAAATATAAATTAATCAAAATTATTTTTGTTATACTTGTGTTAAGTTTATACTTGTGTTATAATAAAATAACACAAGTTTATATTAATATATTTGAATTTATATATATCAAATACATTTAAACTTATACTTTTGTTAAATTAAAAAATTAAATATTTATTAACTTATTTAAGAAATATATATATATTATTGACCAGTCCATTCAACTACTTCTAATCGTCTATTGGAAACCAATCCGTTTAAGGGAATCAAACCGTTTAGTTGACCGATTCTCGATTCAACAAGTTTGGCCGAACTTTCAAACCAATAGTAGTTGGTATTATTTTTATTTTTATTTCCATTTATAAATTTTATTAATCTCTATAATTCTATATTCTAAAAAAATTAAATAATTATTATTTTTTAAATATATTTATTATGTTATAAAAATTAATTTTAAATATAGAAAACATTGTATAGTATTTATTTATTTATTTATTTTTTTTTTTTGGTCTCAAAACTAAAGTTTTACTATCAAATATTGTTAGATACTCACGAAATAAAAATTGCAATAAAAATTAGTAATAAAACTATTTTTTCACTATTTGGGACTAAATTTGCAACAAAACCAATCTTATGGGATTATTTTTGTAATTTTTCTCCCTTTTCAAACTAATGACAAACGGTGACTTAACGGTCAGTTAGATTTGGGACCAATTGCGCAACAAAAATAAGATAAGGACCAAATATGCGCCTGGTGGGACTAAAATTGCGATCACTTAAATCTAACGGGACCAAATTTGCAATTTTCTCGCTAAAAGATGTATGAATTGATAAATTAATTTTGAGATGACATATATTAATTAAAATTTAATTGATATAACAAAATATTTAATATGATTAATGGGTTAATAAATTACAGTTTTGCTATGGAGCCATCGGATGGCTCGGCTTATGGAGCAATCCATACTTAATCACTAATAGTGCATTGCCACGTGTCCTACAATAAATACAATTTAGACAGATGTCACTATATTAAGTGATGGATGGCTCCATAAGAAAACAATCCGATGACTCCATAGATTTTTTGAATAAATTAACTTATTAGTAATTAGTAATTCTCGAGTTTATACAGACGTACAATTGATATAACAATAACATAACAATAAAATAACATAACATAACATAACATAATATAACATAACATAACATAATCCTTCTTATACATAATTCCCGAATGCGTTGAGACTGAGCCTACGTGGTGGCTTCTGGTGCTTCAGAATCCTACTTAGCGAAGAATCATGCTTCGTAATTAGGTTTGGACAAATAATATTGATATATTAATAATTAATAAATTTAGGTTCGGACATTCCATAAATATTATTTATTAAATTTAGGTATTTTAATATCACTTGTACTAATATAACCCTTTAATTATTTGTAATTTTACGCACTAAGTGACTAATATATCTCTGACTTTGATTTGTTTCCTTCAATTAGCTATTGAATTGTAAATGTATTTTAAAACTTGATAACTTTTGTATTTTTTATCAGTTTTACATATATTATATATCAAATTTAATCATCTTTTGATGATCTTCGAGTTGACACTCATATTATATATATGAAATAAATAAATTATATTTATCTTTATAAAAATAAAAAATAAAAATATTTATTAAAATTTATTAGAAAAATAAAATTATTTATCAATTGATATATTTATTTTTAATGTAGTTATATGTTGTAAGTTAAAAATTGTTATAATATAACACAGGTAAGTCGCACAAAAAAAAAGGGTTATACTAAATATATAATAATAATATATATATATATATATATATATATTTGTAAAAGGTATTTAAATTTTCAACTACTTTTTCTCATTAATTTTAGACTTAAAAAAATTAGCAAACACCCGTGTAATACACGGGTGTTATACTAGTAACAAAATATAACATAACATAACAAAATATATTAATCCAGAAGGCGCTGAGCCTACGTGGCTGCTTCTGGTGCTTCGGAATCCTATGTGGCAAAATTACATGCTTCGTTATTAGGCTTAGGTAAATTTTAATTTAATTCCAAATAAAAAATAATTAGGTTCGAATTACCATAAATATGTTGATTATTTATGGTCATGTTACATGTATTAATTGCATTTTAATAATTCCTTATTATAACTATTGAAGTGTATATATATTTTAAAAGTTAATAAATTTTGTATATTTTATAAGTTTTACACATGTAATATATCAAATTAATCTTCTTTTATTGAGCTTAGATTTAACATTTATATTGTATGTATAAAAAATAATTTATCTTTATAACAATAATAAAATTATTTTTAATATAATTAGAAAAATAAAATTATTTATCAACTAATATATTTATATTTAAAGTAGTTATATGATATAAGTTATAAAGACTAATATAATATAACACAGGTAAGTCATAAGTAATACGTATCATTCTAAAATATATAATAATATATCTTTTTTGTAAAAAAGTAAACTAAATTTAATATATTTTTCTCATTAATTTTAAAATTTAAGAATAATTATTTAACAAACACCCGTGTAATACACGAGTGTTGCACTAATAGGACACTAATAGCTGAAAAATTAGGTGTTATAATAAAAGTATATGAAAAATTAGCCGATTTGTATAGTTTTTGACTCAAATAGCTGATAAATTAGTTGTTATAATATAAATTTGGAAAAAATAGTTGAATAGTATGTTGAAATGAAAATTCAAAGATATTTTTTATATATATATATATATTATACTAGTACAATTCCCTTGCACGGGTGTTGATAAAGTAATTAAATTTACGATAAAATTAAAATAAAAATTATATATTTTGTTGAAGTTGGAAAAATAAATAAAGAACAATATATAAAAATTTATAATAAATAACTAAGTGAATTAAAAATATTATTTTAAATTCTAAAAACTAATTTATATACATCATGAATTTTATTTATAATATCTATATTTATATAATAAGTCATCCTATTTATTATATTTAGTAGTAAGAAAAGTCAACAATAAAATGCATCCTATTTGTAGGTTAGTATTTTATTTACTTATTCTGTATATTTGTTTTCTCCCATTACATCGGTTTAATCAAAAAATTCTTATAAAGTCTGTTTTCTCAAAAAATTGTACGTAAAACCCAAAAATATGCATATTTGATCGGTGATAAAAGATTTGATCAGTCAAAATTATATCTTTATTTTCCATCACCCATAAATAAAACACATATCATGCCTAAATTAAAGGGTTTAGTTGGAAAGAAAATGAAATAATTTCTTTGGTTTTTTATTTGTCATATTAGTAGGATCCTCGAGTGTGATAATTTTATTTTTTTAAATGTAATGAGAATTGAAAATTATTTATAATTTGTTGAATTTTATCTTAGGCAGTGTCATTTTTTTTTTTTTTACTTTAATTTGATGATAGTCCCGTACTTAGAATAAATTATTTTCATTTACCCCAGGTACAAAATTATTCTGAAAATCTTTCTTAAAAAAAATGAAACGGATATGGGAAAAGATACAAATGAAGATTGGAAAAATAGATACATTAAAATTAGACAATTTTATGTGTTTACTACAACTTTTTGAAATTTTTTACAAAATACAACTTTAAAAATAAAGCATACATAAATCATTTATAAACAACAAGTTATAAACTAAATAACAACGCATTTTTTCCCACTAAAAAAACATAAATCGACCATTTACTAATAGAAGCTAAAACTTTTGTAAATGTGAAAATAAAAGTTATTTCAGATAAGTGGTTCAATTTTTTCCATGAAATTATGTGGGCGAGTAAGTTGCAGTATTGGTGAGGATGTAAGAATTGGGCTACATACATAGCCTATAAAAGAATGGGCTACAAGACCTATAATAATGACCGAAAAAATAAAAAGAAAAAAGAAAAGGCCAATCTACTTATATAAAAAGTCATCTCGTTACTAGATTTAGTAG